CTCAGTTTCCCTGAGGCACACTGTCCAGACGAATGGAATGGGGACACCAGTTCCCCGGGTTATTTGGGGGATGCTATTTGGGAAGGCACGTGACCAAATGTAAATGGCTGGCTGTACATTGTTGTTGTCACAGTTGTGGAAACACATGCCTTGAACGTGAAGCGATGTGCCATCTGTCAGACTCTTGGGGCTGCTACCGCCCTGGAGAGTTAAGCTTATTTTTACGAAGTCCTAATTTGGCTGAATGGTCGTGTCGCCCTGACACTGGCTAAGGATATGCCCTCACGACAAAAAGAGTGATAGGGACAATACCAGGTAGTGGGTCTTTTGGATGTGCTACAGCTACTCTAAGAGACAAGAGACTGGAAATTACCAGGAGGTGGGAAATGCGAACCATGAGAGTGATTTGTACGTTTCTTCCCCTCTGAGGATGGTGTCAGGGAGATTGGGTCCTCAGATCTGGGGCAGACTTTCCTTACTGGCTCCAACACCTTCCAATATGAACTAAAGTCAACCAAACAGTGCACTCTAGGAAGAGACATTTTCTAGGCACCCTCCCCTGGAAAAATATTAATAAATGTAATTAGGACGTTTTGATCATTCTGGCAGTATTTTCAGATGCTGGTAACATTAAATGCACGTATAAGATTCCATCTAGGCCCAAACGGAAAAGTGATTGATGCTTTATTTCTCAAATGTGATCTGGCTGTCATTTTATACTTAAGAAGCAGTTGGTTGAAAACTCCTTGTTAAAGTGTTCCATGCCCTAGGTTATGAAGATACCCAAATTTATAGCCCCTAGTTTCTGTGTGTTTGTGTCACTACTCAGAAACAAAATTAGATTCACTTTTATATCCTCATCCATCTTGGTATCCCAACTTAAAACGTAGGAGTCATCTCATTCTTCAAAATTTTAGAGGGTAGAGTTCTTTAGCAAAATACTTGTTAGCAAATGTCTCATTAAGATTAGCCCCTCGGGGCGCCCGGGTGGCTCAGTCAGTTAAGCATCCAACTCTTGATTTGGGCTCAGGTCATGATCTCACAATTTGTGAGCTTGAGCCCCGCACTGGGCTCTGCGCTGTGTGGAGCCTGCTTGGGATTCTCTCTGCTTCTCTCTCTCTCTCTCTCTCTGTTTCTCTCTCTCAAAATAAATAAATAAACTTAAAAAAGATTAGCCTCTCCTTCTTCCATAGTCTTCCTATCTGGAACTTTGAGGAATAGAACATTTCCATCTCATAAGCCTAAATATGGGAATGTAAGTATTCAGAATTAAAAGCTCTTTTTTCTTCCTTCAAGTTGGCAGTACTAACCTAAGGCCCTCCTCTCCCCCCACTGACCTTGTTCTCTTTTAGAATATGCAAAGCATTTTTAGAAAATGTACATGTGAGTGTGTGTACCCATGGAGGGAGTCAGGTCATTTTGCCATGGATGTGTGTTACTCTGTTTTCCAGGATCAAAGGGATATTATCCATTTCTCTGTGAATCCAAAGTGGGTTGGAGGGATATAACATAAAACTATCAGGAACATCTGGTCTTTATAGTATCTGGTCCATGCATGTAGTACATTGTATGAAAAACAACGCACATCTTGGATCAGATTGGTTCATCTTTGTAACCTGTTACATTTATGACCTTGGGCAAGTCACATACCTCTTGAAACACATTTCCTTATGTCTTAGAATATCTTCTTCCTGGGGTCCCTGGGTAGCTCAGTCGGTTAAGCATCTGACTCTTGATTTCAGCTCAGGTCATGATCTCACAGTTGGTGAGTTCGAGCCCCACATCGGACTCACTGCTTCAGATGCTCTGTCCCCCTCTCTGTCCCTCCCCTGCTTGCTCTCTCGCTGTCTCTCAAAAATAAAAATAAACCTAAAAAAAATTTTTTTTAAAGATTAACTCCTTCCCAGGACTGTCATAATTTGATGACATTCTCATTTGGTGACTAGGAGGCAATAAATGGTAGCCACTTCATTTGTCATTGTTTTAATTCTCGATTGTTTGAACCAGAAAAGAAGTTAGAGTTCTTTTATTTTACCCAATCTTTTTTTAGGAGACAAATGAGGAAATGACTGACTTTTTTTTTTTTTTTTAATATGGACCACTTCATGAATTTTCACATCATCCATGTGCAGGGGCCATGCTAATCTTCTCTGTATTCTAATTTTAGTCTGTGCACAGGCTTCCTAAGCGAGTACAATGAGGGAGTTTCTTAATGAGTGCTAGGCATTTTCCATATATTATCTCATTTAATCAGCAGAAAATCCTGGGGAAAGGTAAGATTATCTCCATTTTACACATCAGGAGACTGAGGCTTAGAAAGGGTAGCTTTCAAGGTTGAGTAGGTCACATAGATAGCGTGGACCTTAAAAGTAAAACAGCCAGTTGTTTTATCAGCAAAATGGGTTTATTTAGGAATAGCACTTTGAGACATGCAGGCTATGGCAAATCATAGGCAAGTCTGGAGATCAAAGGAGGGAAAGTTAAATTACAGAGAGAAGGAGGAAGTTGGGAAGGGTTGCTCTGAACACAAGCCCGTTGGAGGGAAGTGAGAATTCAGGGCTTCTCACGGGATCAGATGTATTTTCTTATTGGCTGAGCTTGTTGTTGGGCAAGGAGAAATTCTTCCAGCTGGTGTGAGTAGTAAAGGGGGGGGGCTTCTTCCTGTTGGAGTCTGCAACTGAGGGCCAGAGGTGGGGGCACAAGAGCTCCCCTTTCTGGCCTCCAGGTTCATTTAAAACAAGGTTTTCTTGGGGCGCCTGGGTGGCGCAGTCGGTTAAGCGTCCGACTTCAGCCAGGTCACGATCTCGCGGTCCGTGAGTTCGAGCCCCGCGTCAGGCTCTGGGCTGGTGGCTCGGAGCCTGGAGCCTGTTTCCGATTCTGTGTCTCCCTCTCTCTCTGCCCCTCCCCTGTTCATGCTCTGCCTCTCTCTGTCCCAAAAATAAATAAAAAACGTTGAAAAAAAATTAAAAAAAAACAAACAAACAAGGTTTTCTTTTTTCAGAACTGAGCTGAGAATTCACGTCCCAGGCTTTGTGTCTCCCAGTGCTATTCAGTGTTTCCCTACCCGCATGTGCCTCAGGATGTAGGAGAGCGGTGTATGCGGAGATTAACCCCAAGTGGATGTCCACATAACTGCTTTAGAGCCTTGGGCCTGTCTTTAAAATGACTGTGCTTCTTTGCATTCATTCCCTTGTTTCAAGATGAAGGTTTCCCACCAAGCCCTGAAGTAGAATTGATGATGTACATTTGCCCTCTGGCTGTGTAAACAGAACTTTGAGGAGACTGGTTTTTCTTCTTGGAGGCTGGAGAGCTTACTGCTGGTTTTGATTTCTTAGTTACTTTAAAAATTTTTTCCCTTGAATATGACGATTTGAAGTCCTGTCCTATGAAGCCTGAACCCGTATTAACTCACTGACTCTGTTTCAGATCTCTATTCCGGCTTTCTCCGTCACCCTAATAAAGAAAACCAAAACTGCCCTTCTGGTGCCAAATGCCCTGATTATAGCGACAGTCACAGACCGGGTGAGTACGCCTCAGAGCAAGGTGCCTTTCCTTTGTCCTATTTCTGTAGTGTTTCCCCTCACAAGGAACTTTGTTCTCACACACTTGTTGACAATTTGGCATTTTCTGCTGACTTCATTAGACTTGCTTGATCAAGGTCAAAAAAAAAAAAAATTCTTTCCCAGCTTCCCTTCCCCTAATATCTCTTAGAACAGGCTAAACTGATATATTCACTTTCTTTAATATTTAATATTTGAAACCGCCACCACCACCCCACTGTTGATGGGGTGAGGCAGGGTGATATTGAAGAGCCCCCCTACACTCTCCCTTGGTTTTTCTCCAGAACCATCCCAAATACATAAACTTGGTTCTTGCTGTACACATGTGGCTTCAGGACCAGTTCCTAGGCCCACTTTGCTTCCAGGTTGCTTTAAGTCTTGTGTTCTTCTGTATAGAAATTCTAGAGCTGCTCGGTACTGCTGGGCTGCCCCAAATGTGTGCCACCAGAAATACCTACATGTAGAGTGGTGTTGATTTCACCTTGGCCAAATAGAGGGAGTAGAATTCTATGGTAACTCATTTGTCACTGGAAATTACTGTTTTAATGTTTATTTTTCAGAGACACAGAGTATGAGCAGGGGAGGGGCAGAGAGAGAGGGAGACACAGTCTGAAGCAGGCTCCAGGCTCCGAACTGTCAGCACAAAGCCTGACGCGGGGCTCGAACCCACGAACCATGAGATCATGACCTGAGCCCAAGTCGGACGCTTAACTGACTGAGCCACCCAGGCGCCCCTTGAAATTAATTGTTTTAATATTTTACTGAATATTTCTATGAAAGCATAAAAGCTACATTCCATTTCCGACCATCCTGGATAAATTGAAGAGGGAAGCAGAGTGAAGGAAAGATATAAGAGGCTATTCTGACGTGGTAGGAAATATATTAATATTTTGAAAAAAAAATGTTAACATTAATGGCTAATAAGCATGTACTTCTCGCCACGCATATGCTAAACACTTTCCTTCTGTTTTCCCATTCGTCCCACACTGCTACCTATTAGGGGTAGGTGTCACGAAAACTGAAGTCAAGTGGCATCTGGGTGGCTCAGTCAGTTGGTGCATCCAACTCTTGATTTCAGCTCAGGTCATGATCCCAGGGTCACGGGATGGAGACCTGCCTCAGGTTCTGCGCTGACAACATGAACTCTGCTTGGAATTCTCTCTTTCCCTATCCCTCTGCCCCTTCCCTGCCAAAATAAAAATTAAAAAAAATTTTTTTTTAATTAAAGAAAACTGAAGCCAAGAGTGGTGGGGCTGTTAGCCCAATGTCACCTACTTCCTGAGTGTCAGAGCCAGACTCTGCAAGTAGGTCTAATGCAGAACCCATAGTGTTAACTACTTTGGAATACATGCTTGCTTGGAAAGCATATCGAGGGGCGCCTGGGTGGCTCAGTCGGTTGAGCGTCCGACTTCGGCTTAGGTCATGATTTCGCAGTTTGTGGGTTCAAGCCCCACATCGGACTCTGTGCTGACAGCCCTGAGCCCAGAGCCTGCTTTGGATTCTTTGTCTCCCCTATCCCTGCCCCTCCCTGCTCATGATCTGTGTCTGTCTCTCAATAATAAGTAAACATTAAAAAAAGAAATTAAAAAAAAAAAGCATATCGAGTGCTCTCCTTGACGAGTGAAAGGGATAATCACAGACTTCTGAAAAGGGGATGTGAAAAGATTTTGTGGCTCTAATAGGTGGAGAAAGAGGGAGTTTTAGTATTTTCTTCAATGTACCGCTTAGTAAAATTACTTTTCCTTATGTCATTTGTCTCCAAATTACTTGTCTAATCTGATTTCACTTCTTTCCCATCGCTTGTGTGTAAGCATCCACTAGAAAAATCTCCATATTTGTACAAGGAAGAATCCGGAAGTGGCTTGAAAAAGAACGAGCCTGTGAGAGCCTCTGGGAAATTTTTAGTGGAAATCTAGGTCAGAACAGAGAAAGCAGACCCTTGGGAATTGTTAAATACCTTAAAAGAAAAGGGGTAGGCCGTGGGGAACAAGTTTTAAAGAGGATCTGGCAAATATCACTAGCCCTTTTTTTTTTTTTTCTTAGTGTCCAGGTCTTGCCTGCCTGTTGGGGACATCAGTGTCAGGGTATTGGAGCCTTCATACCATTTAGCATTTCTTTATTACTTAAAGGGGGCTTGAAGGTTTTGTTGCTGTTGTGGGGGAGTATATTTTGTTCATTCCAGGAACAGAATAAAAACTGACAGAGGTGAATGAGATTGTAGACCAGGGGAAAAGAGAAGAAAACATGTATACAGATAAAGTTCTGCACTCCGAACTCTGACTTCTGGTCAGGCAGCATCTGTTCCGTAATCACTCTGTTTTGTTTTGCAGTACATATTTGTCTCCTTACTCTCCAGAGATTCCACTTACAAACTACTAAAATCTGTGTGTGGACACTTAGAAGTGAGTACAACATCGCCGAGCCTCACCTGCTGTCTCTCTTCTGGATTTCCCGTGGTTTCGTAGTTGATCTGGTTTTCCTTTTTGTTTCACTAATTTCAGAATACAAGTGTTGGGAACAGTCCCAACCCGTCTTCTCTTGAGAACAGTTTCCGGGCAGACCGCCCTTCATCTCTGCCTCTGGTGAGTTGCCTACCTAACTAGCTCAGTGCGAAAGAAAGGGGATGATGCGTCCCACAGTTACACTTCTCCTGACACCATGACCAGGGGACCTTAATATCTGAGGTAAAATTGAAGACACAGGGTGTTTCTGTCCTCAAGAACGGGGCGGGGGGGAGGCCATAGAAGGCCATCAACTTTTTCCAAGTAATCGAAGAGCTGTCCTACCAAAGAAAAGAAGCAGTATAGGGGCCCCTGTGGGTGGCTCAGTCCGTTAAGCATCCAACTTGTGCTCAGGTCATGATCTCACGGTGTGTGAGTTCAAGCCCCACGGGGGGCTCTGTGCTGACAGCTCAGAGCCTGGAGCCTCCTTCGGATTCTGTGTCTCCCTTCTCTCTCTCTCTCTCTCTCTCTCTCTCTATCCCTCCCACACTTGTGCTCTGTCTCTCTCTCTCTCTCTCTCTCTCTCAAAAATAAAGTATAAACAAATTTTTTTTAAAGAAACAGGATAATGGCTGTCTGGGCGAGTGGGTGGTCCGTGGAGGTGATCCTAAAATCTTGCTCCGTTTGCTTGTCAGTGTTGTTTTAGAGGGATTCACCAATGGTTGGGGGAGGGGCATGGTCCATCCCCACAAATCACTGATTGTCTTCTCTGTTCAAGGCACTGTGCTAGTGTAAGGCTATAAGGACACCAAGAAAGCCCAAAACTACTCCTTGCCTTCCAAGACTTTCTAGCTTAGTAGAAAAGATGAGGAACATCCAGAAATAATTATAAAAGAAGCACTCTATAGTGACCAAGTGAAAGAGATTTTTTGATTCCTTCAGATTCCGTTGACAGTACAGTAAATCTCCAGTGCAAAGTAGCTCTCCCCCATTTGTACACGTTTTCTACCTATGGTGGCATCATGTTGGCTCAAGCGAGTTCTAGCCGTATTTATTCAAGTCATTATTCCCAAACGAATCACTGTTACATGTTGAAATACCTTTGGTGTACTGGTATGAGCCCATGGTTTTAACATCTACAAATCTTTTTTTTAAGAGCTGTGAAAAAGTCCAGGGATTGCAAACCTGTCCACATAAAAAGTTGTATAACAATGTTCACAGCTGCTTTGTTCATAATAGCCAAAAAATAGAAACAATCCTGATGTCCATCATCTTCTGAATGCATAAGTCAAATGTCATATGTCCATACAACAGAATATTATTTGACCCTGAGAAGGAAGGAGAACTGATAGATACAACATGGAGGAACTTCGAAAACATGATGCTAAGTCAAAGAAGCCAGACACAAAAGGCCACATACTAGATGATTCCATTTACATGACAAATTGATAGGGAGGGAAAGTGGATTAGTGGTTGCCAAGGGATGGGGGAAGACAGAGAAATTAGGATGACTGCTAATAGGTAAAGGGTTTCACTTTGGGGGTGATGGAAATGTTCTGAAATAAGAGGTGATGGCGGCATGACATTGTGATTGTGCTAAACACCACTAAACTGTATGCTTTCAATGATGTCTTTTGTATTACATGAATTTTTATCTCAGTTTAAAAAAAAAAAACACACCTTGAAAGAAAGTAGGGGAGAGCAAGACAAAAGAAAATGAAACACAATATGATTTGCAACCAACAAACTTGGTTTCAAATCTGGGCTCCACCCAGCTGAGTTATGCCATCAGACAAGCTCTTGAACTGCTGTGGCTCAGTTTCTTCATCCAGTAGAATGCCAACCTCACGATGTGGCTGTGCAGATTGAGTGCAGTCGTCTATGCAAGGAGCTGTGCCTACTGTCTGAAAGATGATAGGCATTCAATTACTAATTGTTACACCCAAGAGACTTGAATTTTTCAACTTTCTGCCTCCTATAAATTCGTGCCTGAAATGGAAATGAGTTATTGAAACGATCAACAGATAGCTAGTATCAGCTGAAAGCGTGGCCATTTGCTTACCAGATAAGTCTCTTCGTTTGGCAGCGACCTAAGTCGTGAAAAGCTCAGCCTAACAGGACCTTCCCCAGGACATTTTAATGACACCTGTTGTGACTCCAGTTCTTAAGCACTTGTGGGGGAAAATGAAATACAAACTAAAACATCCCTGCTTTTTCCCTACTCCTTACCCCTCCATCATTCCTCTGGAATTCAAAAGGAATAGCACTGACTGGGTTTTAAGGGAGTCAGAGAGGGAAGAAAAATAGCCAAAACTTTCCTTTCAGTGTGTAACTTGTTAAAGCCCTTTTCCATTTTGTTTTCCATACCTTTTTTAAACTGTGTTTTAACAAGTACCTATGCATTTAACACATGTATTTTAGAAAACTTGACATCTTATTTTTTCTCGTATATATGTCCATGTCAATCAGTTTTTCTCATTACAACATCCTAAAGAGACTTCTCCAGTTTTATCCTGGAAGCTTTTCAATCATTAGTTCAGCTCTTTTTTTTTTTTCCCCCTAGACATTTGTTGTTTCAAACAAGTTGGCCACTGTTGACAGGATTCTAACTCCCCAGAAAAAATGTGTTTCAGTAACCAGATCCTCTGACCTGTTGGGGAAAATCCCAGTGGTACGGGGTAATCTTCCCTTCTTTTCAGTATTTTATAGGTTAGGCCTAAGTGGAAAGGCCTGGGGGTTCCAGAGGCCTGCCTGTGTAATGAGGGGTATTGGATTTTGTACACTGCCTTGTTTCCCTTCAGGATTTCAACGATGAATTCTCAGATCTGGATGGAGTAGTTCGACAAAGAAGGCAAGACATGGAAGGATACAGCAGTTCTGGTTCCCAGACTCCTGAATCCGAGAACTCTCGAGGTCCGAGAAATTTCTAAAATGTCATGCTCCACAAAACATCCTCATGTCACCCCTTAAAAACAAAGACAAAACCAACAGAAATCAACACCTTGTCAATTAATCAGCAATTAAGAAGGGACTAATTAACAATGGAGAAAGGGGTGCCTGGGTGGCTCAGTCAGTTAAGTGGCCAACTCTTGATTTAGGCCCAGGTCATGATCTCATGGTTAGTGGGTTTGAGCCCTACGTCAGGCTCTGAGCTATCAGGGCGGAGCCTGCTTCGGATTCTCTCCCTCTCTGCCCTTCCTCTCAAAAATAAATAAACTTTTACAAAAAAAAAAAAATTGACAAGGGACTTTGGAGAAAGGGTAGTCTGAAAGTTTTAGGGGGAAAAGAATGGTCTACATGGTAAAAATCCATTTCTCTTTATACACAATAAATGTCTCTTTTTTTAATTTTTTTTTTTTTTTTGCTTTTTTTAATTTATTTTTGAGACAGAAACACAGCATGAGCAGGGGACGGGCAGAGAGAGGGGGAGACACAGAATCTGAAGCAGGCTCCAGGCTCTGAGCTGTCAGCACAGAGCCCGACGTGGGGCTCGAACTCAAAGAGTGTGAGAGCATTACCTGAGCTGAAGTCGGACCCTCAGCCGACTGAGCCACCCAGGCACCCCAAAAAATATCTCTTAAATCGACATAATAGGAGGGTGGTTGAAAGAGAAAAACATAGAATGTTTTCTTCTGATCTCAGTAATACTATTCACTGTTAGAGCTGAATGGTCCCCATGAGTCACTGGGCTAAGGACAGACTGTCTTTATATCATTTTCTTACTTGCTTAAGTATTGGATTTCAATACCTAACCACTGAACCAACTTGTGAGAAGATCAATTTATATTCTTGGCCATTCCACATGTTGTGAGACTGATGTGCTTTGTGGTTGCTCCTGAGTTTTTTAAATGCATTGGGAAGAAAACTCAGCCAGCTCCATTTTGGTTTGATAGATTTCCATGTGACAGAATCCCAGACAGTTCTGAATGTCTCCAAGGGAGAAACAAAACCAACTCGGGCAGATGCCCATGTGAATAGAGTGCCTGAAGGAAAAGCCAAGAGTCTCCCTACACATGGTAAGGAGTCAATGTCTTGGGTAAATGGGATAGTGACAGACATCTGCCTGTAACTTTTAAAGGGCCCTCATATTTCACTTTATGACTGCCTTTCATATTCCCTCCTCCCCTTCCTACTGAACATCTATTTCCTTTGCATATTAATTCATTTATTCATTCAACAAACAGTACCCAGTTCTGTGTCTTACTATGGAGGATACAAAGGTAAATGGCCTTCATGGAGGTCCCTTTGTTATTGTGAATACTTTGAGATTATGATTCCAAAGTGGCTGGTAAAACTCAAATTACTGGATTATTTTTTATTTACTAATTATTCTCCTAACTGGTTACCAATGATACTGGTGTGAGGGCAAGGACGGTGTCTGTATTGTTTACCATTCACTCCAATGCAGTGCTTGACAGAGAGAAGGCTCTCAGTAAGTATATACTGGATGAAACGAGTTGGAAGGAGTTAGAACTACTGGTTAAAAAGACACCTGGAAAGGGGCCCCTGGGTGGCTCAGTCAGTTAAGCATTCGACTCTGGCTCAGGTCATGATCTCACGGTTGGTGAGTTCGAGCCCCACATCTGGCTCTGTGTTGTCAGCATGGAGCCTAATTGGGATACTCTGTCCCCACTCTCTCTCTCTGCCCCTCCCCCGCTCGTGTCTGTCTCTCTCTCTCTCTCTCTCTCTCTCTCTCTCTCTCTCTCTCTCGTAAGCATTTAAAAAAATAAAAATTAAAAAAAAAATTCAAAAGATACCTGGAAGGCTTTACTTCATGTTTTCTCCTATTTCTGTTACCCAGGAATAATTATCTCTTTCAACTATCCCTTCCCCATAGGGATTTTGCTGGATGAAGGAGGTGTGTTGTAGTTTTAAAACTGTTCCTTTTGGGGCGCCTGGGTGGCGCAGTCGGTTAAGCGTCCGACTTCAGCCAGGTCACGATCTCGCGGTCCGGGAGTTCGAGCCCCGCGTCGGGCTCTGGGCTGACGGCTCAGGGCCTGGAGCCTGTTTCCGATTCTGTGTCTCCCTCTCTCTCTGCCCCTCCCCCGTTCATGCTCTGTCTCTCTCTGTCTCAAAAATAAATAAACGTTGAAAAAAAAAATTTTTTTTTTAATAAATAAATAAATAAAACTGTTCCTTTTTTTTTCTTCCCAACAGGTCAGTCAGAAACCAATGGAATCTTACACAAAGTAAAGCCTCAGACATGTACGACTCTCCACCATATTCTTCTATTTTACGCAATCGTGTAAGTAGATGAATTTATTAGGAATGACTTTAGAAAATGATTCCGCTCTCTAAAAAAAATAATTTCATGGTTGCAAGAACCTTTATAAATCTCAGTTGTCTCTAATGTGATCCAGAGCTTTTCTTTGACATTTTTTGTGTCTTCTTCCAACATTTTCCCCCCCTTAGGCTTAGGTTACATTTTCATATTCATCTCCTTATTTAAATAAATAGAAGGGAGGAAGGAAAACCAAAATGTGCCAGATCCAGCAGAGAACTAAGTTCTGAGTGGATGCCATTCGTTAGAAAATTGTTCTGTGAATTATGAAGCATCGTTGGCCTTAGTGTTTATTCTCCCATCTATCCCATGTCCTCTGGATAGAAGCCAAAACAGCTTTAAAATACCATCATCCCCTTCAACGAAAACTCAGGCATTGACTTTGAAAAATTCCCCCTCAGCTTCCAGTTTGTAATCAGTTGTTTTTCTGAAAATAGCCTGACCTAGTTCTAGGCTGTTGCTGACAACCAAGGAGGATGTGCCCAGCTTGGTTTCCAGATAAAGAAGGGAATTTATGAGTCACCAGATAACAAGACGAGGCACTCATTGCCAGGCCCTTCTGGTGAGGGCCACAGCACTGGGAGTAGGACCATGGGCTTGGTAATCCACCTTGGGCATGGCCTTGAAAGATCCTAGTAGGATGGCCATTGTTTGTCAATTAAGGAAGCTGGGCCAGAGACTTTTAAATCTCTTTCTAGCTCTCAAGTTTTCTGACCAGCATCAGCCTGTTGGAAAAAAGACCTTTTTCAAGTCTCTTTGGCAAGTTCATTTTGGAGAATATCTTGCCTCAAATGTCCAACGCTGGCTCTGAGTTGATTGTTTTATGGACATCAGTTCCTTAACCTATTGCGAATTTCTCTTTTATCCCTTTCCAGTGTCTGTGCACTAATCATCTCGACCTTCTACATGAGATACAGAATTAATACTCTGGAGGAGAGGCTGGGGTCACTAACCTCCACTGTGGACATTCATCATAATGAGTAAGACAGTTCCCTCTGGTGCTATCATCTGCTTGCTCTTGAGACTAGCATAATGTTTGACTGGTATTTACCATCCTTAGCAAACACGAATTAAGTCTACATTCTGTATGCGACATTTTCTGAAATGTGTATGTGGGAAGCAAAGACGTATGTGGGAGGGTCCCCAAAATGAATGCTGTGCCTCTGAACCATTCTTAGGTTGATAAGGCAAGAAACGAGCCTGATTTTACATTATCTTATTCTATTATCCTAAGACTCACTTGTGACCTTGGCCTGTTGATTAACCTATACCAGCAAAACTTACCTTAGTAAAATGGCAGTGGGTGAAGACATTGATAGGAAAGAAGCAATTCAAGTACCTCAGCTCACTTTTCATGTATTAATTCTTTATATGAACTCCTATAGTTTCGAAACTTTTGACCACTATGAAGATCCATGTGACTAGTAATTAGCCGAATGCATCTGTGAAGATTTTCCTTCACAGTGTTTTTTTGGGGTTTTTTGTTTTGTTTTTTTGACTGGACTAACTGGCCTTATTGGGGAAAGCCAGGACTACAGTGGACTTAAGAACTGGCATTGGGGCCCTTCTTCTTGCCAAAGGTGGGCACAACGTTGACAAAGTGCCTGTTGTATACTGCATTCACCGCTTGGCTTGGCCTGTCCTCTTTTTCTCCTCTTTGGCCAACCTGGCAGTGTGCCCTCTTACTTTCCCAGCATGGGTCCGGGAACCATGGACTTTATCTCCAAGCATGTGGCCAGCTACATCCAAGGTGGTCGGAGCCTCTTCTCCATACTGACTCAGGGTACCTCATCCTCTAGGGGCGTGCCTGCCAGGGGCACAACTTGATCTTCTGGAGCAATGCCCTCTAGCCAGCCTACGTGAGGCTTGATTTGGGTGACTGTCTCCTAGCCCTCACCTCAAGGGGGGTGTAGCTCCTGGGCATGGACAAAGAGGTGCATGTCAGTGACTCAACCACAGCCATCGCAGCCGCTACCATGAAGACGGTATCCCCATCAGTCATTTTTAACAGGCCTGACCTAATTAAACCTATTTAGACCTAGAGCTCTTTCCTTTACATCCATTCATGTAAGGATTTTGATGCATTACCTAAAAAAGTAAAATAAACTACTCTGTATTAGAAAGCATACTTTTAGCCCAAGTTCTGGAAGTAGAGACACTCGTTTACAGAGTTTGTACCATGCGCTAGAGACTCTACTGTGTCTTACAGTTTGTTTTACAGTTTGTAGTAAAATCAGGATTCAAATGCAAGTCTGTATGACTACACAGAGGATAGGCTTTCCAGCCCACCGATGGCTTGGTTGTGAGGTACAGCCTAGGACCTGGGTCAGGCTATTTTGACTGTGCTTCAGAATCATCTGGATGGCTTGTTACAACAGATGTCAGGGCCCATCTCCAGAGTTTCTGAGGCACTAGATATGAGAGCCTGAGAACTTCCATTTCTGTCAATTCCCAGCTGATGCTGATGGTGCCAGCCTGGGTCTATAATTAGAGGACTATTATGCTGTACCATTCTGGGTACAAACAGCTTTGTGCTCAAACAACTACCTAAAGTCTTAGTAGTAGTTTACAGAGATGCTGGCTTATAGATTCTTTTGGACATGTGTGTATGTATGTATGTGTGTGTGTGTGTGTATATATATACACACATATATATATATACACATATATGATATATACGTATATATATACATATATATACGTATATATCATATATGTGTATATATATTATATATGTATATATATTCTTTAGGTTC